GAAACAAATAAATATTTCATGCGTACAGAAGCAGGTCCAGTGAAAAAAGCCTGGACAATAAAGAGGATGCAAATAGGTTTGAAAATGAAAAATACAAGTCACAGCAAGTAGGTATCTACACAAGAGTAATCAAGTCAAAAAAGACAAAGTGGCATATCCCCAAAAATGAAAACTACCCAGTTATGATAAACAACAGCCTTTTCAGCATTTTAACCTCTTGCCTCACAGAGAAAGGAAGAGAAATTAAGATATTAATAAAATGACCAGTCAAAATGAATTTTAGAGTAACGGACTACTCACAAGTAGACTGTTCGAGAAATCGCTAAACAAAACTGCTAACTTACGCCAGAAGACATCACAGATCTCCTAGGGATGATGTGGGGATATATACAAAGGCGAGGCAGGGGCTCGAAAAAGCAAGGACATGTTCATACGCAGATATCAGAACATAACTAAATAACCAATTAAGGAGCAGCATGGCTACAAGACGGCGCTGTGTCCGGGCCACCGGCGACAGAGGAGAGTGGAAATGCGGTGTCTGCAGTGCCACTTAACGCGGCCGCAGAGAAGAGGAAACAACGAGCCGCCTTTTTCTCTCCCAACATGGTAAAATCGTCCGATTTACCGCCTCCCTCTTTCTCCAAGTGTCGCATCTTGGACCTCATCTCTTGTGAAAACTCGGGAGAAAGGTTGGCGGGACTCAACTTCGGCGGTCCCAACTCAGGCTCCAACAAGCGGGCCAACTTGGCACTGGAAGCGAGCTCGTGCTCGGGGCTCTGACAAGTGAGGTAGGCCGGTCCAGCCGAGGAGCCGACAGATCCAGCAGTTCTGTGGCTCAAGACGGGCAGAGGAGGTAGAGATTTATGCTTGCCGGTCTGCAGCTCACCAGATGCAGTTGGAAAGGCGAAATCGACGCCCAGTCGAGGAAAGGAGGCGATCGACGAAGCTGAAGAAGAAGACGAGGAAAAAGAGGTGGGAGAAGAAGATGATTTTTGAGGGCAATTGCGTGAGTCAACCAGGTCCGAAAAGGGCTGAAACAGGCCAGAGGAAGAGGATGCACTTCCAGAAGGCGCGAAATCTCCTGCAGACAAAGTAGTTTCAACAGATGGTTTGACGGTCGGTGGCTGTGGGTTCGAAGACGTCAGTGACGAGGAGGAAGAAAAAGAAAAGAGTGGTGGAGGAAGAAGGAGAAGAGACGAAGAAGAAGAAGAAGACGACGAGGAGGAGGAGGACGAGGAGGAGGAGACAGAGTGACTTGGCGAAAGGTGAGTCCCAACTTGAATGTTTCTGTGCGGTGAAGATGTCCGGGTTGAGGACCCCATTGGAAGACGAGGAGAGGGGGCTGATGGCAAGCCTACTGGCTGAGGTGCCGACGGGACATGAGACTGAAGATGCAGCTGCTGTGGCTGCTGCTGCTGCAGATGTTGAGCTGCGTGTCCTGGTTGATTTCTCTGCTGATGATGCTGCTGTTTTCGATGCTGCTGATGACGGAAACAGTCGGACGAGACGATGCTACATGTGCTGGTGTTAAAGTCATTTGCTCCAGAATACCCGATTGAAGGGGGAAGCGATTCGTTGCAGAGTTGCGCCGAGGCGTCTTGCGTAGAAAATAGGCCGGAGTCGTGGCATTCAAAAGCCTGACTATTCGAGGGGCCAAAGCTGCTCGACAGAGAATTCCGCGGAGCAGGCGGTGGCGGTGTTGAAGCCTCGGGACAGCCAATAGTGCCGCCATCACCAGACAGAAGAGTTGACTCGGCGTACTCGTCATCGGTTAGAAAGCGGATACACTTCTTTTTGCGGCTTTAACGTTAACGGGTTGGCAAGCGGGCAGGGCGGATAAAGGAAGCGCGAAAAAT